TTAAACGAATAAGAGATCTCCTTGGAAGGTGTCTGAGACATTCGTTTGAAATGCCATCAAAACCACAGGCCTTTCTTACTTCAGGGATTGAATTTCTTTTGAGATGTGAGAAGGTCGGAATGTCACAGGTGTGTCTTCATGAACTGTAGCCAGCAGAGTGTGGCCTCTAGCCTCTACTTGCAGTTTATGTTCTTAGCCACAAAAGTCATTCGTTGTGAACTGGGTTTCCGAGCAAGTTGCAGTTTTGGTGGCTCTATCGATCGGTTAAAATATGGGGCCTAAGAGGCCATGAATTACGGGTGGTGCCTTGATCCATCTCGTGTTGTGAGGGATTTCACAATAGGCCATATTGCTTGTGGTTTGACTCCACATTTTGCTAACTTTGTTTTCCTTCGTTCAAGTGCTCTTTTCGGGGTCATTCTCCTGATAGTTTTGGTGACCCAGTTTACTGCCGTTTTTCATGTAGGATCCCTGCTTTCTTGCTTCAACTTTCTAAGCTAATGTTACGTCCGATGGTCAGTGGGCCAGTTTATCTTGGTGTCAAGGCCCCTTCTTGGGTCCAAAACCAGATTTTATTACTGTCTGACAGTTGCAAGTTTGTTGATGTGGAGCGCCCTCTCTGACGAGAGGACCGGTCTGTCGTTTACAGTTGCTGTTGGTCCTTGCCAGCGCAGTCATTCTTGGGTCCAAGTCCCGCGGGACTTAAGACCACATTCTATTGTTCCACATTCGAGACTGCCTCAAACTGGGAGGCCATGTACCCGTATTTATATCCCCCAGGAACAGGGTGGCCCAGTTACATCTCCATGTACTGGGTTCTCTTTTCGTGGCTTCCCACGGCTCTCAGGGCTACGGTGGAGATATTCGAACCCGCCTGTACGTGGGGAACTGACGTCAGACTGTCAGAGTCAGAGTTAAAGTTACCTTAGGACTGACTGTTTACCGCTATTCAGTTCATCTTGGCGCCAAGCCCCTTGAGGACCACGACCAGATTTTTTTGTAACTGAACCTTTACTGCCGATCACAGTGGCCTAAGACATGAACTGTCTTCGCTAGCTCGAACGCTGGGGTCGTGGGTTCGAATCCCAATCAAGACATGTCTGTCTGTCTGTCTGTGTTTTTTCTGTAATTGTGTAGGTAGCGACCTTGCGACGGGCTGATCCCCCGTCCAAGGAGTCCTACCGACTGTCTTAGGATTAAGAAACTGAAGTGATACAGAGCGTTTCACGGATGCCCTATGCTGCAAAGTGGTAGCAATTGGAAAGAGAGAGAGAACCCTTACGGTCATAGCCTTTGTGTGACGTTCTTTTCTTATGAACAGGCTTCGCCTTTGTCAAGCGTACGTATCGCACATATAGCGTGTTATTGAAAATTCTTCCTTGTGCACTACAAGCAAGTCCTCTGTCAGTCCAAGTTTTGCAAAGTAGATCATGCCTATCTTACTTATCTTATGCTACAACGTTAGCTTAATCATTTGAATGGTCATAAGCTTGACAGCCGCCAATTTTAAGCCTCTTATATTTTCTATGTCTGGCTTCGCGTTGTCCTATGCTGCGAACATATTTATTCTCATAATTCTTTATGACTTCTTGTTGCCTGCACAATTTGCTGCTGCGGCTACTCGTTATATAGCCTTAGTAAGGACACCAAAGAAAACACCGCTTCTAACAGATCCATTATTTCTGTCAGTTTATTCGTTACCACGGAAACATGTTTATCTCCCCGTCGCCTAGCAACTGCCGTCTCGTTTTGTTTCACTACTTCGGCTTTCAGCCGTCATATCGCAGTATTATAATTTGTATTCACCATTTTTGTATTGAAAATGAGCTGGAAGGTATACAGAATAATATGTGTTAATAATTTGTATAGAAGAGATCCGTCTTGAGAAAACAGTAGTCCCTCAGTTAACCAGGAAATTCCTCATTTTGTATTGAAACCGGAGCTTAATTACCGTATTCACAAAACTAGCTATTTGACTTTGTTCCGAGCCAGTTGAACCCAGTGCTTACAATCACGCCCTATTTCTTTAAGATCGATTGCAATATTATATTATTATATGACTACCAAGTTCTCTTAATGTTTTTTAAACAAATTTTTCTATGCAGTTTCTATCCCACCAATGCGTGCTACTTATGCGACTCATATTATTCTTATTTATTTGATCGCCTTAATAATATTTGATGGCGAATAAAATTATTGAAGTTTCACGTCATTATTTTTTTTTTCTGGTCACCTGTTACTTCCTCTCTTTTAGGTAAAAATATTTTCTTCAACACTTTATTCTCAGGTACCCTCAGTTTATATGCTTCCCTTAGTTCTAAGGCAGAATAACTTAAGGTTTATGGCATTGACATCAGGTGTTTATTTCTTTCGTAGTGATATTATTCTTACATTTACTATTATAAATATCAGCTATGCCGGTTTAACTGAATATTATATTTCCCGGCCTCGAATTTGGCCACGGTTCGGTTACAGTATCTTCACATAATTTTAGTGGGAATTTGAATGTCAGTAGCGTCATTAATTATTTTATAATTCGCTTAGTGGGGGTGGAGTCCAACTGGGTCAACTCGGCACGGCGCCCACTGATTGGCCTATTGTAGCCTGCCCCGGGTGATTATGATGATGGAGAATTTGGTGGAATGAAGATTGGCAGGGGAAACCGAAGTACTCGGAGAAAACCCGCCCCAGCGCCACTTTATCCACTACAAATCCCACTTGACCAGACCCGGGCCGCCGCGGTGGGAAGCCAGCGACTAACCGCTTGAGCTATGGCGCGGCCCAGTAGCGTCATTACGTTTTGCATGTGCGAATTATCCATGACATCCTGAGAACACGCATCTTTTTCACATATGCTCTCTGTACTCCGGCAACTGACGGTAAAGGCTGACAAACTTACTGCCATCTGTGAGTCGATTATCTAGAGAAAATGTGGGAGCCTCGACGTCTCGCAACCGTATTGGCCTTCACGTCCTGTTACAGGGCAACTTTACCTTTTTGCCTCTCCATACTCCTCCATGAAAGTAGATTGTGACTACCTTTCTTACGGAGAGAATAATTTTTACTATAAACGAATTTTAAAGGATCGATGGAAGCAGACGGGCTTATGTGGCGGTAACATAATACATCCTGCACCTCGTATGCTACACTAACACAGGGATCATTCTGAAAGTCCAAACATGGGGGCTGGGCTGGTGAAGCATAATCATTATTTTCAGTGCGAATTTAAAATACTTCGTAGGCTCTGTGTTTGTTTTCCGAATTGATCTCCCATTTTTATCACACCGTGAAATCTCTTCCAAGAACTGTTTTTCGTCATGGGTTGTAGGATGGCTCCGTTGTGATACGTACATTGCAGAATTCAGTTTGTCCGAAGCCTTGCTCTCAACACTTCGCCTGCAATCTACTCTTTAGACTATATGCGTTACAAGGGACTGGAAGGAATTGCTTCACCATTACAGCAAAGCAAATGCAGCAACAGAAATTAATGGCTCTTCAGCATGTCGGCAATGGGAGAGCATGCAGACGTTTGTAACTGTGCCACAAGTGTTGGTATGTTCATGAAACTGCATAGGTGCTTCATGTTGTCAAGTGTAAGGGTGTGACTGTAGACTAGGTTTGGATTGGAGGTTGCATTTATTGGCCACTTTATAACACACGACTCATAACTACAAGTAATTATAGCGCTAAAGTTGATCTCCGCATTTTATAAATCACTACAGCACATGCTCAGTCTTCTCCAGTCGTTTCCTGGTTAAGGCTTCTAACATTGGCGATTCTTCAACTGCACCGACTAAATCTTCTCTTCACAGATTCCCCTAAAACTCTCTCTCTGAACTCCTGAATCTGAGTCTCGATTCTTATGTTACGACCGACGGCCAGTCGACCAGTCTATCTTGGAATAATGCACCTCTCTGACGAGAGGACGGATCTGTCGTTTACAACTGCTGCTGGCCCTCACCAGCGCAGTCACTTTCGGGTCCGAGTCCCGCGGGACTCGTGACCATATTTGATTTCCTCAGATTCGAGACTTCCCCTTTTGTCGCCTCCTACGATTCGCAGGGATACGGTGGAGATATTCGACCTCGCCACCACTCGGGTCTCTGAACTCCTGTTTAAACTGTCCTCCTTATAACATCTCGGCACGGACCGCGTAGATAACACCGTTCTTTGATGTACTCCAATCGTTTACGTGGGAACGTGTTTGTTTGCGAAGGCGTTACTCAGTAACGGCTGCGTATACTTGCTTATTAAGAATCTGTTGCGTAGCAGCGGATGTTTAGTTGTTTATTTTGAGGTCGTTACCCAGTAACGGGTGTACACGCTATAATATTTAACTACACAGTGATAGCTATCTAGACCTCTGTTCCAACGTCCAACAACTCGGTATTGTACTCTCATATATATATATATACTTATATGATTAGTCTTGGAGAACATAAAATGTGTGATGTTAGCTACGTGAGACAGATAAGACTTGGAAAGATTTCAAAGTGGCTATATTTTTGCCAGATGAATATGCTGAGACGTTCTTGATTAAGTTATTTTTCTTATCCGTAAATCCATAACTTCGGTTACCAATTATTATTATTATTATGTGTATGTAGTTCAGCTTTTAAAATTACAGTAGTCAAGCCACGCAGACCAGTCAAATGTCTCTATTTTTGTCCATTATCGCGACAACTGCATTTTCCCCTCTTCATAAATGTGTTCACAGCAATTTTTATTCTTAAATACACCATAATACTTCTTTGTATTCGAATGTGGCATTCCTTTGTCAGTATATGTGGCCACAGTAAATTTTCGCTTAAGAACCGCTGATATGAGCTTTTCCGAATGAATGAGGGTTCAGGATCCCCGCCCACCGCACCCTGGTTTTGTACTGTAGTTTTGTGAAATGGAGAGTAGGAACGCCGAGCGAGCAGGCCAAGACTGCGTCGTCCCGCGTCTGCGCGTCTGTTCTGCTTCGTCTGAACATCATTCCTGTAGTAAACGCGGTGCCTGCCTTAGTGCTGCGACTGTGCCACGAAACAGCCTGGTTGGATTCATCGAACCCGCCCTCCCCTCCAAGTTACAACATGCCATAGCTATTTCCATTAGTTCTTTCTCTAGACTATATTATCTGCACTAATATGATCCGAGGTGAAGATTTAGGATAGGCTGCGTGCGAGAGTGACGTTGGATTAATACAAGGAAAAATAATATTTCGGTCCGATGACTGGGTTAGATACAATGGGTGACATAATACAGTGGCGCGTGCGCGGGGCGCCGTGTGGGCAACCGTATCTCTGCTGCTCTCTCTGGCTCAGCCCTGCTCCGAGGGGTTAGTTGGTTGCCAGTGGGCGCCATGTTTTGCAGTGAATGTGTGCTTCAACTATTGCGAAATAACATTTACAAATTTAGAAAAGGTACACCTGGAAAAGAACGGGGACATCTACTTTTAGATGCATCTCATAATTTTCAATGAAATTATAGTGTTAGATCAATGTGAAACATACCATACTCGTACATTGACCTGCGGCTGAGTGTGTTTTAAGAACGAGGCGGTGTTTTCTTATTTCGTTTTCTCCGGTAGTGTTTTATTCTCCCATAATGCAGCCTTCGATTTTGTGTAGTGTTCAAAGTGTTTGCTACCAGGTGCCACATTCTTTCTGTTGGTGCAGCAAGGAGGAAGTGACTTCTGTTTATTTGTTGCCTTTGTTCTTTCCTGTATCGGGGGTTAATATCCGTGTTACAGCCAATCCAGTTTTAATCTCCACTCCTTCACTGTTAGGCCTACCGTTTCTTGCTTAAAATGTTATTCATGTTACGATGCAAAATATATGATAATCATGAAGCTACACACTCGCCGGCAACGACAGGATAAATCGCCTAAAAACATTTACTGTATACAAGACACGCTAATTCCTATGCCATTTAGAAATGATGTAATCAGTATGGGCTATATACATTAATTCAATTTGTACCTATTACAAAAATAGACGTTTCAATAAAAATTTTGGAAGAATTAGGCCTACGTACTGGACACTGTTATATATTTGTGTTGCTGCATGTAAAGCAGGCCTACGGTGTTATTCCACGTGAAGTGCTGGTGCTAAAATGGTGTCATAATCGTTTACATCGATCTTATTTGGATATACATTAGTGTACTTTAAGAAGGGATCTTGTTCTGCAGACGCAACCATGGCCGTCATGTCGTCATCTACTGAACCCCAGAACCTCCTCCTGCAGCAACCCTGTTCAGCTTCAATCTGCTCAGTTGCCAGGAACACAACAGCCTTCATGGGACACCACAAAGGTAGGCTTCAAGCCCAATTCAAACAATTTCATGAATTCATGTTCTTTAAGACGCACGATTGTCATGAGTTTGAACACAAACTTTGGTCTTCAATTGAACAGGGTGTCATGAGCTGCGATTGTAGTGAATATTAGGCCATCTGACTAATTCCATTCTGCTGCACTTTGATCAAAAATCAAAGTCTTATATGAATAACATCCTTGCAATAGTACTGTAGCTGGAGGCCGCGCCATAGCTCAAGCGGTTAGTCGCTGGCTTCCCATCGCGGCAGCCCGGGTTCGATACCGGGTCTGGTCAAGTGGGATTTGTGGTGGACAAAGTGACGCTGGGGCAGGTTTTCTCCGAGTACTTCGGTTTCCCCTGCAAATCTTCATTCCACCAATTGGTCCACAATCACCCTCACATATCATCTGGGGCTGGTACAATAGGCCAGAAGTGGCCGCAGTACGCCACTAGCAATAAATTAAAGTACTGTAGCTCTGATATATCTAATATCCAATACCGTACATGATTACGGGTTTATCCATGGAGGATGTTCTAATTTCTATACACGTCATTTGCGTTTATAAACCTGAGATTCAAAGCTACGCAGTTTTGTTAAGTTCATCGGCTTCTAATGTCACGATAGGCTAGTTTTTGTGGATTTATATTCTGTGTAATTAGAAACCAAATATCCTAAAATCGAACCACGGAAAATTCCACAATGTGCGAGAATTATGTTAAAAATTTTTCAGTCTTCGAAGTAACTATATGGCATTTATAAGAGAGGAGGAGAGAGTACATAATATGCACGCAAGTGGTTTTAGATAAATTTAATTAATGACACACCAGAAGGGAGTGGCAGAAATCCTGGATACTGTAAGGAAAGAAAACCTATAAATTTATTGCTTGATATGACAATTTGTTCAGGAGTTTTTATGTTCATTTTTCTCCGGATGAGTTGGATTTTTATTTTTTTTTTGTATGGCTGTTACATTAAATCATCTCGGTACATTTTCAGTTAGGTAAATATTAAAGAGAAGTAATTGCATTAACACTGTATGTTTCGTGAATTATCCAGCAAGACATATCCTCATATTTGTGCCAATAGGAGAACAGTTGGAACGTAAGAAGTATTTCATTATTTGTTATTCTAACTCTGTCATTCAAGAGTCCTTGAGAGGGTGGTAGCTACTCAGTTATTTAAAATATTCTTCTTCTGTTATTGGAACCGATGGTTCATTATCCTCTTGACAAGAAGTTACCATTGAACTGCATCCTGAGTCAGTTGCATCCAGTCAGCATGCTCGCATTCTGTTCCATAGAGATCCATTCTAGTATTATCCTACAATCAGTGCCTAAATTTCCCAAGCAGTTTTCTCTGTAGGTGTTCCTGTTCAGTTGTAGTGTTTTGCATGCTTGCTGCAGCTCTCCTCTTTCATCCTTTCCGCCAGTAAGATTCGGCAGAGTTTCTCATTATGCAGTTCTTTTGCACATGCCATCAATTCACTTCTCTTAGTCGCTGCTGTTGTCCTTATCACCCAATTCTCGAATTCGTTAAATCTTTCTTCTTCACTTAAAGCGAGACACAAAGTTCGAAATCTATATAAAGGTAAGGTAAAGTTGTCCCTGTAACAGGCGGTAGAGGCCCATAGGGTTGTGAGACATCGAGGCTCTCACATTTTCTCTAGACAATCGGCTCACAGATGGCGGTAAGATTGTCAGCCTTACGCGCCGGCCGCCGTTTACTCCCAAGGAAGATTCCTGGTACTCATTTCTGTTACAGGCTGAGTCGAACCCAGAGCCATAGTGAGGCTGGAAAGACGCCGACCTTCCAGCTTGTAGCATAGTGCGTCAACCAACTATGCTACCGCGTACCCCAAAATCTGTGTAAAACAACAGTTAAATTATGATGCTCAATATTTGAATCGTCACAATTTCAGACAGGGGAAACATCATAACATTTCTGAACTGATTTGTAGAAAGCATTCCCGAATTTAACCTGTTCGTGGATGTTTCTTTGATGAAATATGTTAATCTGCTTATTGCTAAGGGGACCTTTTGTTATCTTAATCGTATTTATGAGGAAGTACGGATACTGTATGACGATTTTGGGCGGAGAATTGTGTGGGTATAATATGAAACATGTTTATGATTAAAAATTCAAATATGGAAACAAGGGGAACTTGCATTGTGGATTTAGTGGTTATTTCATGTCTACAGACTTGCCGCTAGGAGGAAGTTCTGTTTGTCTTGTATATTTTGTCACTTGAGGCACAAAACGTTTGCCGTCGTGACTCAACTGTGTGCTTTAGAGAATTCATTGTTTTTGTTTTCTGTTTTCGCTTGTGCTTTGTGAATGTCACATGTAAAATACGATAAAATACGATAATAGTACAAAATTTGTTTTCATTTCGTCATGTATTGTGAATAAAACAACGCACGCAATAAAGTTATAAGATACTGATGTCTGGAAACATTTGTTGATAGGCAAAGATATGGGGATAATTTTGACAATTACACAATTCTATTAAGACGTCAATATTTTTGTTCCTTATTGTTAGAAGGAATCTATGTGTTCGCAACTTACAGTCATGAATTTGAAATTATTGGCTCCACTTGTATGGCTTGCACAACACCGGATATGTGAATTTAGATTGCTCATTGGACTGTTTAACGGCACTACGGATGTGCAGGTGGGGGCACGCGGTAGTGTAGTTAGTTGAGGCACTATGCTGCAAGCCGTAAGGTCGCGGGATCGAATCCCGATGAGATTGATTTTTTAATTTACGTAATCCTTCCAGCCGCACTATGGCCCTGGGGTCGACTCAGCCTCTAACAGAAATGAGTACCAGGAATCTTTCTGGTGGTAAAGGGCGGTCGGCGCGTAAGGCTGACAACTTTACCGCCATCTGTGAGCCGATTGTATAGATGGGAGCATTAACATCAAATAACCCTATGGGCCTCCACGGCCTATTACAGGGATAGCTTTACCTACTTTTTTTTTTACGGATATGCAAATGCTGAAAGTATGAGACACGTTAAAATGATGGTGGTCGTTGAACAGAAAGAAATTTAGAAGAGAACGGTTGTGGCCTATTTTAAGTCATAGTTTGTTCGAAAAGACCGAAATATAATGAGAATATCAATCGGCATAATTAATAATGTTAAAATATGAAAGGCTATTGACAGTTATATGAATGTTGTTGAGTCTGATAAGTGTTTGTCAGTTTAGTTTTCATGTAATACTTTACAGTTTCCTTCAGAATTGTACCCGCTATGGATCTAGGCTGGATGTTCCGTTAATCTAGCAGGTATTTTGGGTTTTATTCAGTTTCTGCGGTGAATTCCACGTTAGCATTTTTAAATGGCCCATTGTCGCCTCCATACAAGTCCTTACCCGTCTAGTCATTCTTCATGATCGTGTTTCCATCTTATCCAACTCTACATAACCTCTGAAAGTGAAAAAGCTTAATTAAATCAACCCGAAAATGAATGAATTTTTGTGATTTGTGCATTTGTACAGGGCAGGATCTCGCTGTTCCAGTTTATTTGTCAAATATTTAAGACATAGACGTGAATAATATAACCTAAAGTGACAGTAAAGACTGATGTCTGCATATGACGCCTTATTGTCTGGTATATATTTTCTGAAGTTTCGGTGGAACCCCCTACTTCCATCTTCAGGGCAGAAGAATGAGATGTTTACTTTGGGAACCTCAGATTTCACAGAAATAAAATTATTTGTATGATTTGAGATCTGAGGAGCTGCTTGATACCTGCTTCATGTTGGTTTCTTGCTTGGCTTGAGGCGACATGTTCCTCTGAAACATCCATCGATTTTAAACGGACTACACGGAGTTATGTTCCAGACGATAGAACTCGTAAAATCAGTTGTTTGTTTGTTTCTTTGTTTTCAATATTAAGAACTTCTATTTTCGAGTCGAAATTCAGCGCCTTCTATTGTCCAGATGCTTCACAATTTGTTGTTGTATGGGTCGTGTTTCCAAGTGGAGAACCAGGTGAGATATCTCCATCAATTTATTGGCCGGAACTCTGGACTCTCCTTTATTGAAACGATAGATGAATGTACGGAGAAGCTTGTAACCGTTTCAATTCAGGCGGATTAAGTCCGAGACACTATCATAAAGCAGACCACTAGGAGTATACATTCATCACTTACTTTCCCTGGTCCATTATCTTATCTTCACGAACGTTCTAACAAAACAATGTGATTTTGCGCCATAGAAACCCAACAAGAGGAATATCTGGATTAATATTGATAAAAGGATTTATATTGATATTATCAGCTTGAAGGAGCCGGGGTAGCTCAATCGGTACAGCGAATAGATTACGGGTTGGACGACCGAAGAGTCACAGTTCGATCCCCCAGAAGGGCTACAAATTATTTTTCTCTTCTCCACAGTATCAAAACCTGATCCATGTCACAATACCGTTACTGTCAGAAGCTGTAGTTGTGAAAGGAGCCTTGTAGCAGAGAGTGGAACTTGCTCATTGCGATATTTTAACCCTCACGTTTATATTAATGAACACGGCGAAATTAAGTCAGTTTTTATATCGAGATTATGTTATTTTTTCATATTTTGGTGATAAATACATTCAATACGTTCACATGACTTCACTGGTAATCATATAACTCGAAACAGTTAACTATTTACTGTGTGATACGTGGTCTGTTGTTTTGCTTATGACGAAATATGCACTTTCAACTAATTCTTCATTATGAACAGGAAATCTCCAGCTAAGTTACATCAAAATCTTGGGAATTAATTGTAGACTCAGCAGATCTTCAGAGTTTCTGGCCAGAAGAGCACCTGAAAAAATCCAGAGTTCCAGACATTCTTTTTTTTTTTATTTCGATTTAGAATCTGTTCCATCAAAATCCTGCCGAATATTTATCGATATCACGGCCATTTTCACAGTTATTAAATTTTGATATGATATGCATGGCATTAGCGGTCTCTTTTGACAAAACATTCTAATATTCTTCTGTAGGATCG